ATATATATATATATATATATATATATACACACACACACACACACACACACACACACACACACTTCTTTTGGTATGGGAAATGTTTAGCCTTAAGAACTGTAATATGAATTCATGTTTGAACAAGACATTTTGTTTCTTTTTGTACAAATACAACTGTTTGCACTGAGTTGGGCCGCCACTGTTTTAAACCACTGATGTGACCTCAAACTAACCTGAGGGTTGGCGAACACCTGCTGAATGTTGTTGATAGAGCCACAGGGGACACCGGTGCCTTCGAAGCGTCTCAACCACTCTCCAGTCGTCTCCTGCATGAACCTGAGGACAGAGGTCTGAATGAAGGTCTGAGAAGGGACAGAAGGGAGGCTGCTGGAAAACGGGGCACGGACACGATAACATGAGCTGAAATGCATGTCATATGTGGCCACTTCCTCTCCCTGTCCCTTCAGGACAACAACACTGTGTAAAACCACCAACACACTTTGAAAGATTTCACTTAATATGCCCACTATAATTAAAGTTAATCCGGGCTTCTCTTTCGAGCAACACTGTAAAGATATAAGGTTTCTCATAAACATGCTCTCACACACCACGTCTTGGCCTTTGGTGACTGATGCTGATTCACCCAGACAGAATGTGCCGTTTGAATTTTGTACAGGTTTTGGTACAGATTTTTTGCACACAACAGTCCCATTGTTGCCAAGAGCATGGTATGTGAACAAAATGTTTCAATGCCAACAACCATTAATTTGGTTTCTTAATAGAATGGTTTCACAATTCTCAGACACTGACCACAAAAGGCATCAGAAACTGAAAATTAGGATGTGACAAGGAAAGAAGCAGAGACAAGGAACATCTTTGGTTTGCTATTTTGTTTGCTATTTCTCCAGCATATATCAAAAAATATATAGTACTCATTTTACTTTTGATTAAGATGGTAAAGCTGCAGAAGATTTTCAGTATATAAGGACTTAAATTTTAGTCTCACTTGAAACATTCCTATGGCTTTTCAAGGCTGTAAATATAGCACATGAGCTTTTATGGTGCTTTTGCATCCTCAATAGCCCCAGTTCCCATTTACAATCATTGTATGGAAAAGAGCAGCATGAACATTCTTCAAAGCATCTCCTTTTGAGTTATGCAGGTGAAAGTACATCATGTGAGTTTGGAAACACAGGAAGGTGAGTAAATGATGACAAAACCAAAACAACAAAACACAAACAAAAACAAAAAAATTAAAACAGAACAACAGTAACAACAACAAACAACAACAAACAAAAAAACAAGATTAAAAGTCAAACCAAACCAAAAACAAACAAACACAAAAAAACACAAATTAAAATAACAAAAAAATAAATGAAATAAAAAACAAAACAATAAATAAATAAAAGGAAATCAAACCAAATATAACACATAAAACAAAACAAAAAACGAAAAAAGTCAAAAGAAAAGAAAAGAAAAGAAAAGAAAAAAGAAAAGAAAAAGAAATAATATAGAGCTGGAGACCCTCAAGACTGTGTATGAAGGTCAATATGTCTTAAAACATCAGAAACAAATATACTGATAATTACGAATAAATAAACATTCAAGATGTGAAAAGTGTTTTTAACTTTACATCACAATATTTTTAGTCCTTAAAATTATTAAATTTTAACTTTTAATAAAAAATAAAAAATAAAACCAACATGAATACAGAGAGTTCACTGCTAGGAACTTCACGCATTTTAAACTATATTTTTAATAGATTTTTCCTTTTATTTATATTGAACACTCATTTGTCATTGACCCTTTAAACAGTGAAAAAAACAAAAAAGAAGGTAATTTCAAAGGTGGAGCAAGTTATTACATTTTGATGAATGATAAAAAAGATATTATTTCCTCAAACATTTACCATCTAAAATAATGTGGACGGATGAATAGTGCACGACGCTCACAGGTTTGGTTTAGATGTCACGAAATGGACGCTTACCTCTCAGACAGAATCTGCAGCAGCTCTTTGCGGTGCTGAACTCTTAACTTGTTGCTTTTGTACTTCGGGCTTTCTGCCAGGTCATTCATGTTTAGAACCTTGGCAAACAGACACGTTCATGACAGAACTGTTAGGAAATGTGAAGCCTTTTCCCATCAGTCAAAACAAATGCACATAGCTATAAAATATGACTGTGACTGAAATGTACAAATAAAGCTTAGTTAGATTTATTAATATGCATATTTGGAGTCCTGCTTACTTTGCACACTTTCATAAATTGCTGATCGTTTCCCGCTGCCACAACCAAATATCCATCTTTGGTCTTGAAACCCTGCAAACATAGAGATTTAATAAGTATACAGAGCAGACTGCCAGCTAAACTGTGTAAGTAATAAAGAAAAACCTCACAAACCAACTGCCATAAACAGAAACAGAATGACAACACTGGAAACTTTGATATAATTAAATTTATGACTAACGCAACCATGCAGTATTTCATGCAAATCTGCATCTAATGTTTATTTTCTCTAGGGTTCTCCACTTAAAGGGATAGTTCACCTAAAAATGAAAATGTGAACATTTACATCTGAGATGTTGATGAGTTTGTTTCTTCATTTGAAAGATTTGGAGAAATGTATCATGTCAATGGATCCTCTGCAGTGAATGGGTGCCGTCAGATTGAGAGTCCAAACAGCTGATAAAAAACACCACAGTAATCCACACCACTCCAGTCCATCAGTTAATGTCTTGTGAAGCGAAAAACTCCATCCTTGTAAGACACAAATCCATCATTAGGGCATTTTAACTTTAAACCATTGCTTCCGGCTAAAATATGAGTTCATAATCCATAATAACGCGTCTTCCAGTGAAAAAAATCCATCTCCTGTTGTCTCTCACATAAAAAAACACCCACATTTTGGACTGTTTTCACTTGATCTGTGCATAATATTTTTCTCCTGATTCAGACCAGATGACTTTTTCATCGGAGAAAGGAATATTACAGATAGAGGACTCGTATTTTAGTCAGTTTTAAGTTAAAATGTCTTGATGGATTTGTTTCTTACAAACATGCAGCTTTACTTTCTACTTCTGGAGTGGTGTGGATTATTGTGATGTTTTCATCAGCTTTTTGGACTCTCATTCAGACGGCACCCATTCACTGCAGAGGATCCAGTGGTGAGCAAGAGATGAAATGCTTAATTACTCCAAATCTGATGAAGAAACAAACCAAATATGAAAATAATCTTTGACCAGTGGTATACGAATTCAACTTCATAACATTAAACCGGCAACTATGACAGGAGTTTATTATGGTCAATTTAATTTAGTATAGTAAAGTAGTTTTTACAAAATAGTTTTATCATACAGATTTTTAACAACACAAGAGGAAAATGATGATGGCACAATATTAATTTACAGTTGAACTTATCCCCTAATACTTCTTCAGTTGATTAATAAGAGTACAAGCACTCTGTAAAAACCTTCAGAATAAAGATAGGAATAAAACGGAAAACTTGGAGTGTGTAAGTGCTGTTGAAGTGGAGATTTCTGATTCATCGGGAGAAATTTTCATTTTGAGATAATGGCTTTTAAAGATATGTAACTGGAATGTAAAGATGATAGATAAAGTGCAATAAAATTGTTCTTCCACTGGTCAGGAAGAAGTTATGGAAGCAAAATAGCCCAAAAACTCATAAATTGCATGAATTTGCCTGCAATGTTTTGCCTTGAGGGAAATATTAGAGATGTTTTGTGCTTCTCAATGACCTGTACAACTCAAGTTGTGTCGAATCCTCAGGGTGAACCAGAATTTTCAATATGCACATTAGCGGTTTGAGGGAAAGTCTTTCAACGAAAGATCAGGCCCACAAATTCTTCAGGTTGAACTTTGCGGGTCCATGCTCCCAGCAGAGACGCCGATCCATCCATTCCATCGAACCCTACTTCAGGCTCAATGCCCGCTGGTAAAAAGCACAGATTCACTTGAAAGCAGCCAAAACGAGAGAAAGCTTTTCGCAGAGGTAGGATAAACTATAATCCGCAAGAAAATAGCACTAACAAAACTGGCTAGAAACAGAAAAGGTCAAAGATCCAAAACCCAAGCGGCACCTCTGGGACGATCTTCCGATGCCATTGAAGCCACAATGAACGGGAATCAACCAGCTTACGTTCGACATTTCAAACGCAATTATTCCCCTCACAGATCATTCCCATTTTTGTATCGACAGCATCTTGTGAAGAGCAGATGGACCCAAAGTTCAACTAATGTGACGTTCTCAAATGCAATCCATCAGCTTCCACTGGACCAGACTATGTGCATGAGTAAATCAAGACATCGCTAATCGTCTTTTGGCCACAGCAGCACACCTTAGAACAAAGCGTGTATTCATCGCCGCAGCCTCTCTTAGCACAAGCACTTCACTCTATGTGTGTTTATTCTGGTGCCCCCTGGCAGTACAATAGTTCAAACAAGAAACAAAGTGCATGGACCACAGTTAATGAGACAGTGTTTTGACAAAATGTAGCCCATCAGATTAAATGATTTCAAATGAATAAATCAAGCATGGGCCAAGAGGTCATATGCCTAGGGATTCCAGGAAACAGCAGGAAGACGAATACACACACAGCAAATGCATCCGCACACAAAGGCACTCCAGCTTCATCTTAGTGTGGGTCCGTTTTGACTCGTTCAGCGAAAGAGATCAAGCCCAAATTGTCCTGCTACCAGGCTGTTTCCAAACTCGTGAGAAGCACCCTGGGGCTCGCTGGATGCCACTTGCATGTGTGCAATGAGCTTGATGACGTTCAACCTGACATCTTTTCCTGGAGCCAAAATTAACACTCGCCAAGCTCTAATTGCGGGTAAAATTCAGCTTTGGCGAGTGAATAAAACGCACGCCACCTGGGCGGTAACTACAAAACATGTAGACTCGCGTGTCTTTAGATGACTTTTGGTTTATCTAGGATGACTAAATTTTGTTTTTCTCCAGGATTCGATGTGGCGACACGTTGAAAAGTCTAATTGAAAATAGATATATTTTTCTAAAATAAAGACTATTAAAGTGTATTTTCAAAAAAAATACTATTTCAGTTTTTCTCCTTCAAAATTTCATGTTTAATTCAATTGTGTTTCTTGCTGTTTCTTTTGTAATTGTGAAATATACCATTAAAAAGTATACTAGCCCATTTTTTCTGGTACTCTAGACCATTTTTTTTCCATGTTTGCTTACATGACAATAATGTACTAAAAATGGAAAAGGTTTTCCTTTGCGTTTTTGAAACGTTTTATGAACAGACAATGTTCAACGTCTATGCACAGGGCTATGCAGGTGTGCGCATAAGCGATCAAAATAAAAATGCGCCATGTAAATAATTTCAGACCGTTCATTTGAGTACCGACATGGTTGACAGCAGCTAATGCACAATCGCCATTTTAGATCGACTAACTGTAATCCTGCATAAGATTCCCATTCGAAATGAATGCATACATTTAGGCTACGTGCTGCCGGTTTTAAAGCAAAACGCAAAACTGTGACATTCACTGATGCGCTTCACTCCGCAGCAGTGCATATATTTACCTGCTGGCAACCCGCCAAAATAAAAGCTTGCTCATTTTATGAGCACTATTATTACTATTGTTAATTATTTTATTTTAAATAGATGTATTTAATGGGTCACACTATGTGCAGTGTGAGCACCAAACTAAATCTCTAGGTGCTCTCATGAGAACCAGACTATGCACTGAACCCATAACAGGCATGTATATGACGTCATCGTTAAAAAAAAAAGTGTTTTAGTAGTTTAAACAGATATAATAATGGTAGGATTTTCAAAAACTTGTCCTTTGAAACCCATTTTCAAAAGTTTTCAGGGCCCCAAAATGCCGTTATCTTGTAAATGAATGTCCAAAACACATAATTTTTTTATATTTTTGGTTGAAAATGGTATTGTGTAAACGCCCCCTAATATTAACATTCTGGCTGAAATTGACTCTCTGATTAATTTCATATTATGACTGATAAATAATGGCAAATAATGCATTATTTGTCTAAATAAATAAAAAATAGACCCTCAAAAACTACATTTTGAATGCTACAAATTAATGTAGGCATCACAACATTATAGAGTATGAAAAATGTATATTTATTTTGAGATGTTTATTACTAAATGTTTATAACTTAACTGAAAGTTAGATGATGACAATGGCAAACAATCTAAATGCAAAAATATGGGAAAAGAGCATGCAAAATGAAATATCCAATATCAACTGATACAGATTAAACCATTTTAAAAATCGTCAAATTCAAGTCTCTACATTCCTTTTGCAAATTATTGACACTACAGTTATGCTTTTTATGAGAAAAAGCAAAAAGTGAATGGTTAAATCAAAATCTGTTTTTAACAATTATTATGTCTGTATTGCGTGTACATGCATGAATATTGCACAATGAAATTGGTATTCTAAACAGCTGACACTGGCTGCTGCCTTTGGGCTGTTATTATAATGAGTTTGAGGTAGGGGGGATGTGTAACGTTTGATAAAAAGGCTTAAGATATCCGCTGTGAGACAGTGGTTCCAGTAAGGAGACTTAAATTGTAATATATCATGTTTTCAAGCTGTGTCCTGCTTACAAACTAAGGGTTTGATTAGATTTTCCACTGAAGTTGCATTTACCAAACTTCATTATAAACAACTGAAACACCTGCTACTGACTGCAATGGTCTGATATTATACTGCAAGCATTCATACAAAACCAGCAATTTCAGACCCAGAGCAGGAGACATATATTCTAAAATAATCTAAACTGATTTTACTCATGTATAGCTGGAATGGCAAAATAAATAGGCTTATAAACTTTTAAAAAGGAAAAGAAAAGCTTCCAATATACTTTTTTATATTATATATAGACTGTGTGTACAATCAAAATCTGCAGTATTCTGGCACAAGTTTCGCTTGTTAAAATGGCTAAACTAACACAATATTTAGCAGTTTGATCCAAACAAACAAAAAAACATGTATGAAACAAAAACAAAAATGTAAAACAAAATTGTTTATGAATCAAAACAAAACAGCACAAACATTTATGAAACAAAAACACAAAACAAAACGTTTAAGGCCAATTCACACTGCACAGACAAACGCCAACAAACTAGTCTGTTGGAGTTTGTTGAATCAGTGCGTTACCCCTGTTGGCATTTGTTGGAGTTTGTTTTCACCCGACTGAACATGCTCTTTCGTTTAATTCGCCGTCTTTTCAGGCGAAGAATGACACGCAAAGACATTGATAACAGTAACATTTTGATTGTGGTTACAGGATCATCAGTTTCTTC